ATTCACACAGAGCAGTGTTCCTGACTCTAGGACCTAACATTCACACAGAGCAGTGTTCCTGACTCTAGAACCTAACATTCACACAGAGCAGTGTACCTGACTCTAGGACCTAACATTCACACAGAGCAGTGTACCTGACTCTAGGACCTAACATTCACACAGAGCAGTGTACCTGACTCTAGGACTTAACATTCACACAGAGCAGTGTTCCTGACTCTAGGACCTAACATTCACACAGAGCAGTGTACCTGACTCTAGGACCTAACATTCACACAGAGCAGTGTTCCTGACTCTAGGACCTAACCTTCACACAGAGCAGTGTTCCTGACTCTAGGACCTCACATTCACACAGAGCAGTGTTCCTGAATCTAGGACCTAACATTCACACAGAGCAGTGTTCCTGACTCTAGGACCTAACATTCACACAGAGCAGTGTTCCTGACTCTAGGACCTAACATTCACACAGAGCAGTGTTCCTGAATCTAGGACCTAACATTCACACAGAGCAGTGTTCCTGACTCTAGAACCTAACATTCACACAGAGCAGTGTACCTGACTCTAGGACCTAACATTCACACAGAGCACCTTACTCTAGAACCTAACATTCACACAGAGCACCTTACTCTAGGACCTCACATTCACACAGAGCAGTGTTCCTGACTCTAGGACCTAACATTCACACAGAGCAGTGTTCCTGACTCTAGGACTTAACATTCACACAGAGCAGTGTTCCTGACTCTAGGACCTAACATTCACACAGAGCAGTGTACCTGACTCTAGGACCTAACATTCACACAGAGCAGTGTACCTGACTCTAGGACCTAACATTCACACAGAGCAGTGTACCTGACTCTAGGACCTAACATTCACACAGAGCAGTGTACCTGACTCTAGGACCTAACATTCACACAGAGCAGTGTTCCTGACTCTAGAACCTAACATTCACACAGAGCAGTGTACCTGACTCTAGGACCTAACATTCACACAGAGCAGTGTTCCTGACTCTAGGACCTAACATTCACACAGAGCAGTGTTCCTGACTCTAGGACCTAACATTCACACAGAGCAGTGTACCTGACTCTAGGACTTAACATTCACACAGAGCAGTGTTCCTGACTCTAGGACCTAACATTCACACAGAGCAGTGTACCTGACTCTAGGACCTAACATTCACACAGAGCAGTGTTCCTGACTCTAGGACCTAACCTTCACACAGAGCAGTGTTCCTGACTCTAGGACCTCACATTCACACAGAGCAGTGTTCCTGAATCTAGGACCTAACATTCACACAGAGCAGTGTTCCTGACTCTAGGACCTAACATTCACACAGAGCAGTGTTCCTGACTCTAGGACCTAACATTCACACAGAGCAGTGTTCCTGAATCTAGGACCTAACATTCACACAGAGCACCTTACTCTAGAACCTAACATTCACACAGAGCACCTTACTCTAGAGCCTCACATTCACACAGAGCACCTTACTCTAGAACCTAACATTCACACAGAGCACCTTACTCTAGAACCTCACATTCACACAGAGCACCTTACTCTAGAACCTAACATTCACACAGAGCACCTTACTCTAGAACCTCACATTCACACAGAGCAGTGTTCCTGACTCTAGGACTTAACATTCCACACAGAGCAGTGTACCTTACTCTAGAACCTAACATTCACACAGAGCACCTTACTCTAGAACCTAACATTCACACAGAGCACCTTACTCTAGAACCTCACATTCACACAGAGCACCTTACTCTAGAACCTCACATTCACACAGAGCACCTTACTCTAGAACCTCACATTCACACAGAGCACCTTACTCTAGAACCTAACATTCACACAGAGCAGTGTACCTGACTCTAGGACCTAACATTCACACAGAGCAGTGTACCTGACTCTAGGACCTAACATTCACACAGAGCAGTGTACCTGACTCTAGGACCTAACATTCACACAGAGCACCTTACTCTAGAACCTAACATTCACACAGAGCACCTTACTCTAGAACCTCACATTCACACAGAGCACCTTACTCTAGAGCCTCACATTCACACAGAGCACCTTACTCTAGAACCTAACATTCACACAGAGCAGTGTACCTGACTCTAGGACCTAACATTCACACAGAGCAGTGTTCCTGACTCTAGGACCTAACATTCACACAGAGCAGTGTTCCTGACTCTAGGACCTAACATTCACACAGAGCAGTGTACCTGACTCTAGAACCTAACATTCACACAGAGCAGTGTACCTGACTCTAGGACTTAACATTCACACAGAGCAGTGTTCCTGACTCTAGGACCTAACATTCACACAGAGCAGTGTACCTGACTCTAGGACCTAACATTCACACAGAGCAGTGTACCTGACTCTAGGACCTAACATTCACACAGAGCAGTGTACCTGACTCTAGGACCTAACATTCACACAGAGCAGTGTACCTGACTCTAGGAGCTAACATTCACAGAGCAGTGTACCTGACTCTAGAACCTAACATTCACACAGAGCACCTTACTCTAGAGCCTCACATTCACACAGAGCACCTTACTCTAGAACCTCACATTCACACAGAGCACCTTACTCTAGAACCTCACATTCACACAGAGCAGTGTACCTGACTCTAGGACCTAACATTCACACAGAGCAGTGTTCCTGACTCTAGGACCTAACATTCACACAGAGCAGTGTTCCTGGACTCTAGAACCTAACATTCACACAGAGCACCTTACTCTAGAACCTCACATTCACACAGAGCACCTTACTCTAGAACCTAACATTCACACAGAGCACCTTACTCTAGAACCTCACATTCACACAGAGCACCTTACTCTAGAACCTAACATTCACACAGAGCAGTGTTCTGACTCTAGGACCTAACATTCACGTTCCTGACTCTAGGACTTAACATTCACACAGAGCAGTGTACCTGACTCTAGGACCTAACATTCACACAGAGCAGTGTTCCTGACTCTAGAACCTAACATTCACACAGAGCAGTGTTCCTGACTCTAGGACCTAACATTCACACAGAGCAGTGTACCTGACTCTAGGACCTAACATTCACACAGAGCAGAGTACCTTACTCTAGAACCTAACATTCACACAGAGCACCTTACTCTAGAACCTCACATTCACACAGAGCACCTTACTCTAGAACCTAACATTCACACAGAGCAGTGTACCTGACTCTAGGACCTAACATTCACACAGAGCAGTGTACCTGACTCTAGGACCTAACATTCACACAGAGCAGTGTACCTGACTCTAGGACCTAACATTCACACAGAGCAGTGTACCTGACTCTAGGAGCTAACATTCACACACATTCACACAGAGCAGTGTACCTGACTCTAGGAGCTAACATTCACACAGAGCAGTGTACCTGACTCTAGGACCTAACATTCACACACATTCACACAGAGCAGTGTACCTGACTCTAGGACCCTAACATTCACACAGAGCAGTGTACCTGACTCTAGGACCATAACATTCACACAGAGCACCTTACTCTAGAACCTAACATTCACACAGAGCACCTTACTCTAGAACCTAACATTCACACAGAGCACCTTACTCTAGAACCTAACATTCACACAGAGCAGAGCACCTTACTCTAGAACCTCACATTCACACAGAGCACCTTACTCTAGAACCTAACATTCACACAGAGCACCTTACTCTAGAACCTAACATTCACACAGAGCACCTTACTCTAGAACCTCACATTCACACAGAGCACCTTACTCTAGAACCTAACATTCACACAGAGCACCTTACTCTAGAACCTAACATTCACACAGAGCAGTGTACCTGACTCTAGGACCTCACATTCACACAGAGCAGTGTTCCTGACTCTAGGACCTAACATTCACACAGAGCAGTGTTCCTGACTCTAGGACCTAACATTCACACAGAGCAGTGTTCCTGACTCTAGGACTTAACATTCACACAGAGCAGTGTACCTGACTCTAGGACCTAACATTCACACAGAGCAGTGTTCCTGACTCTAGGACCTAACATTCACACAGAGCAGTGTTCTTGACTCTAGGACCTCACATTCACACAGAGCACCTTACTCTAGAACCTAACATTCACACAGAGCACCTTACTCTAGAACCTCACATTCACACAGAGCACCTTACTCTAGAACCTAACATTCACACAGAGCAGTGTACCTGACTCTAGGACCTAACATTCACACAGAGCAGTGTACCTGACTCTAGGACCTAACATTCACACAGAGCAGTGTACCTGACTCTAGGACCTAACATTCACACAGAGCAGTGTTCCTGACTCTAGGACCTAACATTCACACAGAGCAGTGTACCTGACTCTAGGACCTCACATTCACACAGAGCAGTGTACCTGACTCTAGGACCTAACATTCACACAGAGCAGTGTTCCTGACTCTAGGACCTAACATTCACACAGAGCAGTGTACCTGACTCTAGGACTTAACATTCACACAGAGCAGTGTTCCTGACTCTAGGACCTAACATTCACACAGAGCAGTGTTCCTGACTCTAGGACCTAACATTCACACAGAGCAGTGTTCCTGACTCTAGGACCTAACATTCACACAGAGCAGTGTTCTTGACTCTAGGACCTAACATTCACACAGAGCAGTGTTCCTGACTCTAGGACCTAACATTCACACAGAGCAGTGTTCTTGACTCTAGGACCTAACATTCACACAGAGCAGTGTTCCTGACTCTAGGACCTAACATTCACACAGAGCAGTGTTCCTGACTCTAGGACCTAACCTTCACATACACTCACACAGCGTTGGCCATCGGGAGCATCTCAGGGTTAAGTGTCTTGCCCAAGGATACATCGACATGTTGGCTGCACGGGCTGGGATCGAACCCACAACCTTCTGGGTGAAAGACGACCGCACTCCCTCGCAGCCAGTCGTATTTTTATTATTATCTCCATAAATTCATAAAAATACCATTAAAAACCTCCACTTTCCCCGACAGAGACAGACGCACCCGCTGTGACAGTAACATTATTTATTCAAATCTCAAAACTTTATTCGCTCAGTCAAATAATTTAACGCAGTTTTTACAAAGCCAGAGACAGGCACGGAAATAATAACACAAACAGAATGATGAACAGAGGAGACGATGGAAACACAACGACTTTAAAACAAACAGGAAGTAGAAAAAAGGCCTTTAGTGTTTCTCAAAAACTACATTTACACTAAACATAAAAATATATTTCTATTTTCCTGCTTTTTGGCTCAATCCCAGTGATCCGATTGGCCGAAAAACAGCCGTCTGAGCTCCCATCATGCATTGCTCCACGGCTATTTTCATTTATTTTAAACTCGAGCAAGAATTACGTTTTATTTTCCTTCAGGATCAGTGCTGAGGAACATTCAGGAGTGTGACAGCAGAGAGGACACACACACACACACACACACACACACACACACACACACACACACACACACACACACACACACACACACACACACACCACACACACACACACACACACACACACACACCACACACACACACATAAAGGCGGAGTGTGATAGGTCTGCTTGCATAGGTTCAGGTAGTTTGATAAAAAGGCAGCGTGGTGACAATCTGTTAAACCTCAACGAGACTCTTATTTTGAAACTCCAGAGTTGCTAAACACTAATTAACTCTTATTTTGAAATGCTACAACTGCTTGAGTGAAAGTCACTAAATGAAGATAAAATCTCATCAAATACTTTTATTTTGAAATTCCAAATGTTGTCGTTTAATGTTATTATATTTAGAAATGAAAGACTCTTATTTTGAAATGCGACATTAGCTTTTGTTTAGGAATTACATTTAGGAATTAAAGACTCTTATTTTGAAAGGCCACATATGTACGTATAAAGTTATTACATTTAAAAAATAATAATAAAGACTCTTACTTTGAAATGTAACATTTGTTTTTCTGAAGCCACTGAAGGCTCTTATTTTGAAATGACAAGATTGATAAAAGAAAAAGAAAAAGTAAGTCAATGAAGCAAACCGCAGAATAAATGGACTCTTATTCTGAAATGTACGTCAAGCGATGCGTTCAGGGTCCTGTAGGAACTCCTGCATTGAAATGATATGTGATTGAAAACAAAAGAAAACGATGCGTTCAAGGTCTGTTCCTCCGCCCTGTCTGGCTCTATCAGTGATGATGAGGTTGACTTAGGTTCACACACTCTCTCTCTCTCTCTCACACACACACACACACCCACACACACTCTCTCTCTCTCTCTCTCTCTCTCTCAGGGGTCCACGAAGGACACCATGATGTAGCGCGTCCCCTTGGTGGTGGGCAGGCCCTCGTGGTAGTGTGTGAGGCGTCCGGGGTGCATGAAGGACCAGCCTTTACGAGGAGACTCCACTTTGCAGTCGTAGCGCAGGAACCTGCAGCCGCCGCCCTGAAACACAGAAGTATGGGGAAATAATGAGATCTTGAGATGACGTTGTTTTTAAAGTGTGCTATATCAATGAAATGGGTTATTATTAGGGTCTGAGACCAGAGATGTGTGTGTGTGTGTGTGTGTGTGTGTGTGTGTGTGAGTGTGTACCTCGTAGTCCTGCCCCTTGCTGTTCAGAGCGATGTTGATGGTGAACGTTGAGGAGTCGTGATGCGGTCGCAGAGACGGCTGTTCGTCCGGACGGTAACGCACCACGAAGTTCATGATGGCCTGAGACTGAAATACATTTCATTATAACATACATTCTTTTATATAATATATATATGTATATTAGTACCTTGGGGTAGTACCCGGGGTACAGCTTCTCAGTGATGGGGCTGATGTAGTG